CTACATGGCTTTTCACACACACAAGTCACCTCCGTTGGAGTCAAAGCAATTTGCTAGAGCTTTCTCACTGCTGCAGACGGTTAGTTTTTAATTTTTTCTATTTCACAATTCCTCTAAAGTCTCAAACCTTGTAAGGTGCCAAGAAGAAGAAAGATTCAAGGATGGAAACAGTATTTTAATAAATTATATAGTGAAAAACAACGTTATAATGAACAATATTGAACAATTAAAATTGTATTCCAGTACAGTTGGTTAAAAACAAACATGAGTGTTTTAATTTTAGGGACCAATGTTTTATTTCTAAAACAATGTTTTATACCTGTGAAGCCCTAGAGAAAAATCCATCTTATGGAAAAACCTGAACCAACTTTTTGGCCAACCCAATATATTCACTCCTAAGTCTTTCTGAAAATTTCCTTAGATTTAATTTCTTTATTTAGTAAATAGGGGTAATAACAGGCAACCCACCCCAAATTCTTAAGAGTAAAAAGAAGAAATAATGTGTAAACTTTTATGTCTCCAGAAAAAAATTCTTTAAAGTAAAAGGATGTTCTCTCTGTTGATTTATTGTATACATTTAGCAATAAGGGAAAAGTACAGAAGAAATACAAATTGTTACTTTCACTACTCCTATTTTTTTTTTCCACAAACTATTTTCTTGTTTTCACCTTCCCTTCTTGCTCTTTACACATATATAAATTTCACTGCAGTGACTTTTCAAGTAAACTCATGCCCTTCCCACGGCTGCTTTCCCATCATCTCTCCTGAGATGTGACTTGGCAGAGGCAGCTGAATGTCCACTCTCTTCATCTGAACACGTGTAACTTCCAATGTATTAACTCGATGGCTCCTTCTTCTACAATTTACCACATAATCCCGTGAGTTGTTTTTATTTGTTTACCCATCTTCCACTACTGTTAGATAGTAAACAAAAATAAAGACCGGAAACCTGGGCAATTTAGGTATGTGTAGTCCCTTTCAGGAAAGTAAGAAACAATTTTATTTTATTTTTCATGAAAAAAAAATCAACCTCCAAAGTATTATGCTACACAGTTGCCCCCTCAACAACTCAAGTTGGAACTGTGCAGGTCCACTTATACACGGACTTTTTTTTCAATAAATATACAGATGGTCCTTCATATTTGCACGTTTGGAATCTGAGGATTCAGCCGACTGTGGGTCAAAATTTCCTTCCACGGTTGGTTGAAGTCTCAGATATGGAACTGCAGATACAGGGGGCTGACTACAGTACTTGAGGACCCATGGATTCTGGTACACTCGGGGCCTCCAGGAACCAATTCCCCACAGATACTCAGGGATGACTGTATTTTTAAAAAGTTACAGAATGGAATGTACAGTAAATTTCCATTTTAGGGTCTATTCCTAAATATCTTGAAGGACGTTTATTTCTTTTTGAGAACCTACCATTATTGCCTAAAGACAGATTGTATTAAATGCCTCACAAAAATTCAGCTTGCAGCTTGTGATCACTGCAAACTCATAGTGTATATTTGCTGGGTCACAAAAAAAAATAATGTAACAAAGCCACCAGATCTAAAAATAAAAGTGTCACTCTCGATCATCCCTGCAGCAGTGTTGCCGGTTCTCTTCTAGACAAGCGGGCTGTGGCAGTGAATGAGCCCAACAAGGTGTGTTCTCTCATGGACAGTAAACAAGTACACAGAGAAACAAGCTCCTCATTCCGCAGACAAATAAATCAAGGACCAGAGGGATTGGTCAACTGGCCTAAAGTAACACTCCTGACGTGAGGTAGTGTTGAAAAGAGAAGTCAAATATTGTGATCATACATCACTATTTGTTTTTTTCTAAACAATTCCATTTCAGATATGTGTACATGATCTTTTAAATAATTAGAACTCTAAAAACAGTGAAGATTATATATATATATTTTTCAAAAGCATAAGTATAGATTTAAAATTTGGATTACTTTATTTTATATAAGAAGAAATGAGTATAAGAATGCCAGGAAGGATTCAAGTTAGACATAGGAAGATTATCTGAGGGGGAAATTGAACTATGGCTCAGAGAAGTGGCTGAATTCTTTAAAGAAAAGATGATTTTAAAATGTCTTTCTGAGTTAGTTTAAATGATTAAAGATGTTAAGCGTGGTGAAGGTGACAAACAGAGAAGATGACTTTTCAAGGCCTTTTCTGGGCAGATAAATTTAATCGTGAATATTTATATCATATCATTTCATTGAAATGTAGGTGACAGCCTCAGTGTCTACTTCTTCACCCAAGGACTGTTGTGTCACTGAAATGAATGTGAAAATAATTTTTAGAAATATTTGTAACAAAAGGGTGAGTTCTAAATTCCGTACGGTATATAGCATGCAAACAGAAATGATGCACTTTTCTTGTTTAAGGCCTGGGTAAAACAAATAATTCATAGCAATTATTTCAAAATATAAGCAACATAAGTACAAGAAACCTTACTAGCATCATCAAAGGATTTTACAATTCTTCAAATGACAATCATAATTTGACTTTTAGGAAGTCAGTTGCCCTTGCATTTTTTTCAAGTTCAGTTATTGTTGAGCTTCTTCCAGTTATCTCCTTTTGCCAAGTACAGACAGCAAAATTTAAAGCCACCATATAGAAAAATAGATTTGAAGCTTAGCCAGGGCCACTTTGGATATTTCCAGAAAAATAAATACAAACTTTATTTTAGTTGGTGGGGCAGGGGAGGCATGCATAAAAGATAAGTGAATGCATTTTCATGACAACTATAATAGGCTAGCATAGAAACAGTCTTGTGGATTTCAGAAGTTAGAAAGAGATGTAACTATGACCCTTTCCTTTTTACCTACCATCTTTTCTTTAAAAAGGAAGGGGGAGGGCTTCCCTGGTGGCGCAGTGGTTGAGAGTATGCCTGCCGATGTAGGGGACACGGGTTCGTGCCCCGGTCCAGGAGGATCCCACATGCCGCGGAGTGGCTGGGCCCGTGAGCCATGGCTGCTGAACCTGCGTGCCTAGAGCCTGTGCTCCACAACGGGAGAGGCCACAACAGTGAGAGGCCCGCGTACCACACACACAAAAAAAAGAAAAGTAAAAAGGAAGGGGGGAAAATGAAGAAAGAATAAATTTCCTCTGAGTTCAAAGGGACGAGCATCTAGAAAAATTAATGTAATTCTGATGTTTTCCCCAGGAATCATTTTGAGGCTAGAATGGCAGTTTTGATGAAGTTGGCTGAAATTACAAGGTTCTTGGTCTGCTTAGGATCCTCAACGCTGGACACACTTGTCTACAGTACGTGGGTTTTCACTAAAGTTTTTTGAGGAAGAACAGAGGAGCAGGCAACAAGCTCAGAATACTTTCCCAATTTTTGGATAGAATTTCACTTAATACGATTGTGGTGCCAGTGCTGTGGATGGGATGGTACAGTTCAACATATGTTTGTATAACATGGCTGCATGCCTTTGAGAGTTTTAAATTCTTTCCTGAGAGATTCAGTCACTTAATGTTCATTCACCCAAAACCCTCATATTCTCAAATATCTCAGTTTCACCATAAAAGCCAAGCACTGAGTAGAAGGAAGAAAATAAAAATAGATGTAGATATTTCAAAGTTTCTCTTTTCCCCTGGATTCTTAAAGACTAACGTGGAGAAATATTTAACACAATAGTCCTGATACTCCAAAATACATAGCTTTCAGTCTCACGCTAGCACACAAAACCGTAGAGTTTGCCTGGTGCCTTGGAAATAATCATTTCTTTTCCATTTTTTAGCATTAGAAAAGACTTTGACTTCATCTCATTTCACCATTGAAGAAATTAAGACTCACAGCCCTCAGGTTATTTAATTTATCCACAATCAGGTAAAACGAGAATCCAGTCATTGTTCTTTCAAGTTCAATGCTCTTTGCACCACGTAATACTACCTCCCTGTTTAACAAGAAGTTCAGATCTGGCTGGGAGTCATAAATATGAGCATTTCTTGTCACCTAGATGTTCAACAAGCAATGTCAAATGAGTTATATTCTTCCTAGGTATTGACTGCATTCTGAAAATCATTCAATTGATAACAATTAGCAGTTTTAGATGAGTGGATGAGTACCATGAAGTGGGGACTGAAGCTAATTAATGAGGAATTCTGGGAAGTCGTGTTCTTCCTTTCCTGTTGGATGGTTAGACATTAAACCTTGGGGCTGTCAATTGAGTAACACCTTTGCATCAGTATTAAATTCACACACAAAGAAAATTAATTACAGGAAAGCTGTCTCAAACCCACTTTGTCAACTCCCTCGACAGGAAATTCTCACTTAGGCAGGAAAAGTCAAGTACCGCTGTCTTAAAATATCCTTGTTTTTATAAGCCTACTTTTTTTTTTTTTTTCTACTTCTGAAGGAGAGATGATGGTGTAGAGAGGCTTTTATTTTTTTGGATTAAAGAGAGACAAACACATCTGTCTGAAAGATTAAGGTTTAGTGAAACAACAAACTAGATCTTTAACTAATTCGCATTAGACTGTCATCAAGTAGTATCCCCGCTAAAGCAAATTGTAAGAACTTGAAATGCTCTGTTCAGCACTGAATTCATACGCGTATGCATGATCGCTGGGCCCTGGGAAGAGTCACGTGTTTCTTATTTTAGAAAATGGCTAGCAAAGCAGCACCTACATCCCAGCTAAGAATGGGGAAAATGTAATAATTAGCTGAAGTCACCCAGGCTCATCTAATTTTCAGTGGGAAGCTTCCATTATAACATAATTCCACTTAACTCTTCCTTTTCACATAAATATGTTGAGACATTTTATTTTAAAATTCTAATTACTCGAAAAAAGTTCCTTAGTTTGAGTAAATTATGGATTATGAGCTTTAAATTAAAATATGCTGAAACTGGGCGCTTCGATAACTGTGAAAAGGGTATCTATGGTAGTAATTTGCAAGTCTCTTCTTAGGATCCTCATCATTGTCTGGGAGTAATGCCCTCAGGAACCTCTGTGATGACTCAGTAATGTTTTCTGTATTACACAGCTTACCCAGCTTTCCAAGGAGGGCATTCTGTTGTTCCTCACAGATTCCTGGGAGTAAAGGCATGGCTCTGGGTTCTTTATGTGTCTGAGTGAAAAGGGTAAGTCATTATACATTTACACTCACATTTCATAAACCCACCACCCACTCAGAATTTTATCTGAGATATAGTTGGAAAGATACCTTATTGGAAAATCTCCATGCATACTTAGGCCTTAGCAGAATAAAACTGTCAATGCGTGGACTTGACAGAGCATAAACCACATGTTTATTTATATCTGAAGCTGCTTTGGGTAGCAAATGTTGGTTTTGACCTGAGATTACTAATGTGAAGCCAATGGATCACACTGAGTTTTCAACTGTTCATCCGCCCCAAAACCCATTTAGATTTTGGAAGCAGCTCTTGCTTAAATGGACATTACATCTAATAACTACGTTGATAGGGGAAGACTAGTAAGATTATAATAAATGAAGGAAGCCAGATGTATATATATATATATTTTTTGTAAGTTAAATTTAAAGGTTATATGTGACTTTATGTTAACACACAAAAAATAACAGAAGATGTACAACTCATAAAACAATTGATTTACTTGCTAGTTTTGCAAATAAATAATATAGCTACATATGTATATAGATATAAAGTTAAAAATTGAAAACTGTTCAAAGCAGGTATTTTTCATATACTAATCTGCTGATAAAATATTATCCATTTGGAAAAATAATTAACACATTTTCTTTTACCATTCAGCAATAATTTACTTCACCAAACATTCAGTGAGATTTGAATCTATGTGAGTATGATGAATGGGATATAAAACTGAGTATTGAGGAGGGCCAGGCAGTATGAAGGAAGGTAATTAGTCAGGAGGGTTTTTAAAGGGTATGAGGAGTTCCATTTTTCCAGAACATGTCTCACTGACGTGTAGAAAAAAATACCTTCCAACATAGCACATATAAAAATGAAAGATAAAATATATGAAACATCTCTTTTCACAGCATGAATGAAGAATAAGGAAGTAAGAGAAATAATCAGAGATAAGAAAAGAGAGTAGTTCTGCAGAGGTAAGGTAGTATGGGGGTTGGTTTTGGCTTTGAAAGATTTGCCAGTTTCTGGTGGGCTAGGGGCTGAATTTTGATGGGTCATGTGTGTGGAGAATAGGAGAGAAAATCTGTGTCCCAGCAACGTGAGAGTTCAAATCAGAGACTGCTCCACTAAGTAAAAACCTGCAACATGTGAGAAGCTCATAGGATGAGAAACTCATTTTTCTAAAGAAAAATGCACCCATTAAAGAAGAGCTACATGCGTCAACTGCTGCCCTGACAAGAGTAGAAAAAAATCCTCCCTGAAATGTGCCAATTATAAGCCCATACTTATAGCTGTGGATGGAATTCACAGTATTTGCATGACTCACAAAATGTCAGGGGGAAAATTTAATTTAGTCATGCCAGGTTGAAAACATCCCAAAAGGCCTAGGAGAAGTAAACACAAAGGCTTTCCAGTGAAATATACTTTAAACTAGGATTCAAATTATTGAATACTTCTACTGATAAAGTTTCAAGGAAATTAGCTCCCACTGGAAAATTATGAAAATAAGATTTATGAATGTCCATAGGAACAATCCTAGCTATCAGATCTGCAACGATTTCATATATTGAAATGATAACATGTATGTAAATATTTTGTTTAGTTTATTAAAGAAATAGAAGGTTTGAAAACAAAACATCATAAACAAGAGACCTAAACATTTTTTCCAACATGTTTCCAAACATATTTGAAAAGTATGAAATTGAACATATGGATATGAAAAATACAGTAAACAAAAAATTTTAAATTGATGAGTGCATTTTTGTTTCCAAGAACATGGCAGACTAGGCTGTTTGGACAAACCCTGTCATTGAAAATAATTTTAAATGATAGATAAAAATACTGTTAAACTATTAAAATCCATATAGCAAGAAATTACCAGGTGAAAATATAGGGGAACCTAGAGAGGTAAACAGAGCCCTCAAGCTGCCTCACTCCTTAAATCATTTGATCATCTTGGAAAAGATGGACTTCATTTCATATAAACCTTATAGATGATGAATGAATAAGTTAAAGCCCAGAACTAGTAAGAGATTCTTGTCATATTAAGCTGGAACCTTTTTTTTTTTTAATTTTATTTTATTTTTTGTCTCTGCTTTATAACAAAGTGAATCAGTTATATATATACATATGTTCCCATATCTCTTCCCTCTGGCATCTCCCTCCCTCCCACCCTCCCTATCCCACCCCTCCAGGCGGTCACAAAGCACTAAGCTGATCTCCCTGTGCTATGCGGCTGCTAACCTTTAAGAGACTAAGGAAGAAGATGTTTTTCTTAGATAACGGCTAAGAATTTTCTATAAATAATGAGAGGAACAAGTCACAGTTTAAAGAAGTCAAATAAATCCCAATACACACATGCATACCTATATACATGCATGCATAGTTACATGAATAAAAATAAATACATGATAAAACCATAACATTAACTAAGTAAATAAAAAAAATTCTCACCTGGACATAGCATTGTGAAACTGCATCCAGGAGTGAGGGTAGGAAAGGGATTACCTTCAAAGAATGACAAAGGACAGCTTACTTCTCACGGCAACAATAAAGCCAAAAGATAGTAGAATCATATCCTCAAAGTCCTGAAAGAAAATAAATTTAGCTTAGATTTCTATACCTAGCTAAACTATCTTTCAAGAATAAGAGTGAAATAAATGCAAGAGGGAAAGTGGAAGCTGCCAGGCCTCTTGAAACCTAGACTTGGGACTGGCACAGTATGATTTCTGCTGCATGCTGTTGACCAAAGCACATCACATGGCCAGCCCAGATACTACAGAGGGAAAATACCCATCTCTTGATGACTGCAGCAGTATTTGAAAGCAGGTAAGGACAACATTGGTGGTGGCCATCTTCAGAGACTATCATCCACAATACAAAGAACTCCTCAGGAGCAGTATGACATTGAGAAGTAACGTAAGAAAAAGATGAGCAAAAAATTTAAAAAATTATACCCGAGTCAAATATCACTTAATAGTAGAGTGGTTAAATATATTGTTTATGTTCTATGAGTGAAATACTAGAGAGTAGTAAGAATAAATATACTAAAGCTATATTCAACAGCATGAATACATTTAAAATACAATGTTGAGCAAAAGAAGCCAGATATAAAAGAATGCGTACTGTTATCTGCCATTTATATGGAGTTCAAAAACAACCTAATTAAACAATACATTATTCGTTTATAAAAATGCTTGAACTATAAAAAAAATCCAAGAGAATGACTAAATCAAATTCAGAATAGTGCAGGAGAGGGGGGTCGGGGGGTGAACTTCAATTCCTTACTTTGTGTTGTGGTCATGTAAATGTTTATTTCATATTATCATTATTCAAAATTGCATATATATACAGGTTTTTGTATGAACACAGGTTTTCATTTCTCTGGGATAAATGCCCAGGAGTACAATTGCTGGGTTGTATGGTAGTTGAATGTTTGGTTTTTAAGAAAATAATAAACAGGGATTTCTCTGGTGGCACAGTGGTTAAGAATCTGCCTGCCAATGCAGGGGACACAGGTTCGAGCCCCGGTCTGGGAAGATCCCACATGCCGTGGAGCAACTAAGCCGGTCAGCCACAACTACTGAGCCTGCGCGTCTAGAGCCCGTGCTACGCAACAGGAGAAACCACTGCAATGAAAAGCCCGCACAGCAAAACGAAGAGTAGTCCCCGCTTGCTGCAACTAGAAAAAGCCCACGCGCAGCAATGAAGACCCAACACAGACAAAAATAAAAAACTAAATTAAGAAAAAAGAAACGAATAAACAGTTTTCCAGAATAGCTAGATCATTTTAAAATCCCACCAGCAATGTATATGTGATACAGCTTTTTCATATTCTTTCCAGCATTTGGTTTGTCACTATTATTTTATTTTAGTAACACAAATGTTCATAGTAACTTTTATGTCATATAAACTAGGAGGGGGGAACCCAGATATTCTTTAATGGTTGAATGGTTAAACATGGTGTGGTATATTCATATTATGGAATACAACTCCACAACAACAAAAAACTATTGACACACACAACTATTTGGATGAATCTCAAAAGAATATACGTTGCACTAAAAAATGCCAATCCCCATGTAAATTGATACAGCCACTATGGAGAACAGTATGGAGGTTCCTTATAAAACTAAAAATAGAACTACCATAGGATCCAGCAATCCCACTACTGGGCATATACCCTGAGGAAACCATAATTCAAAAAGCGTCATGTACCACAATGTTCATTGCAGCTCTATTTACAATAGTCAGGACATGGAAGCAACCTAAGTGCCCATCGACAGATGAATGGATAAAGAAGATGTGGCACATATATACAATGGAATATTACTCAGCCATAAAAAGAAATGAAATTGAGTTATTTGCAGTGAGGTGGATGGACCTAGAGTCTGTCATACAGAGCAAAGTAAGTCACAAAGAGAAAAACAAATACCATGTGCTAACACATATTTATGGAATCTAAAAAAAAAAAGGTTCTGAAGAACCTAGGAGCAGGACAGGAATAAAGATGCAGACATAGAGAATGGACTTGAGGACACGGGGAGGGGGAAGGGTAAGCTGGGACGTAGTGAGAGAGTGGCATGGACATATATACACTACCAAATGTGAAATAGATTGCTAGCAGGAAGCAGCCGCATAGCACAGGGAGATCAGCTCGGTGGTTTGTGACCACCTAGAGGGGTGGGATAGGGAGGGTGGGAGGGAGACGCAAGAGGGAGGAGATATGCAGATATATGTGTATGTATAGCTGATTCACTTTGTTATACAGCAGAAAGTAACACACCATTGTAAAGCAATTATACTCCAATAAAGATGTTAAAAAAAAAAGCCAGTCCCCAAAGCCTACATACTGTATGGTTTCATTTATATAACATTATTGAAATGATAAAACTATAGAAATGGAGAGCAGATTGGTAGTTGTCAGGGGTTAACAATGCATAGGAGAGAAAGGAGGACAGGAGGGTCATAGGGTGTCTATCAAAGCACAACATGAGATATCTTTGTGGTATGGATGTGTTGCATCTTTCACATGTTCATGTCAATATCCTAGTTGTGATCTCGTACCACAGTTTTGTAAGATGTTACCATTGGGGGGTGGGGCTGGGTAAAGGGTATTGGGATCACTACATTATTCCTTATAGTTGAATGTGAATTATCCCCAAATTAAATGTTAATTTTAAAATGCATATATGTTTTATGTATGATATTGTATATATCATATAGTTCACAGCAAAGGAAAAAGATAAAAGTATGATACCACCATGTTTTGGCTGGACATGGAAAATAAAGACACTTAACACAGTTCTGGTGAGAGTAGAAGTAAGTATCATCACATTTCAGAACAATTTGTCAATATTTAATACAGTTGACAATGCAAATTAACTCTGACTCTAAAATTTAGCAGAAAATCTCTCAGGTGCAAAAGAGGACATGTGCAATGGTGTTTTTTGCAGCATGGTTTATCAGATCCTAATAAGAAGGGAAATTAATTTTAAAAATTGACAGTCACACAATTGAGTATCATCATTAAAATTATTAAATTAGAGTTAATACCTCAAAATAGATAAACCTGGGGAAACAAAATTTAAGTAGTACAAAATTTCAGAATATAGAGAGTGTGATATCAATTAAGTAATTTTTAAAACATATAAAACAGTTCTATATAATGCTTATAGATAGGTATGAATTAAACATATAAAAGAATACACATCAACTTTATAATAATGGTTAGTTCCTTGAAAACCCCTGTCTCAGAGACCTCAAATTACATTCTCTAGGTTACACAAAATTTTTGTTTCAATGTCAGTGATCTTTAAACTAGAATAGCTGTAAAATCAGGGGCTGAGGTATCAAGAGGATATAGATAAATGAAGAGTTGGTAAGTAGTGTTTATAGGATGTGGGAGATATTCCAGAAAGGGAAGCAAAGATGCATACTACAGAAGTTACTATAATTTTGTACAATGTTTTATTCCTTCCAAAGCACTTTAACATATATTATTTAAATGTGTAAAGACGGTTGGGCAGGAAGTATTTTTCTCATGTTACCATTAGGAATCTGAGGACCCCAAAGTTAAATGAGTTATCGAAGGTAATACAACTAGCTACTGATATATTTCAGAATAGAATACCTTTCAATCTCAGAACTGCAGTGTTTTTCATTGGATGACCTTCTCTCCCCTACTCTGTTGACCCACCTTCCAACTCAGAATATCACATACATCTTTATCTAACACAGTTTATTTTTATGTTCAGGAAAACTTTGAATAGAAAGAAAATAGGGTCATGCATTCCAATGATATCAGACTGGAGCGAAGGGAGTTCATAAATCAAGCTGACAGTAAATCTTCAGCAGTATAGAAGTTTGGGAGTGAGTAAAACACAGCTTCCTTTACTGGGATGATGATACCTGTTAAGAATGCTGCAGAGTGGCATGGACAACATTATGGCACACCTATAAAGTGCCAGATACAAAAGCAGGAGTCATTTGATCTTCAGTATTCCAGGGAAAAGCCCACTCTACACACCCTTGCTTGAAGCTTAGGTGTCCTGAGAAAATAAACCTCTCTTAAAATGCTACCCCTGTCAATCTCTCGTCCAGAAATGAAGCACTTGGCCTCATGCGATTGAAGTCGTATAATTACGTTCATTGTGATTTAATAAATATACAGTATATGTGTTATCTGGCTTCACAATTTGATCTTCTTGGTCTCTACTAATTCATCTGTAAAATGGGAACAGCAAAGTATTTATCTTGTAGCGCTTCTGCAAAAATCTAAGAACATAATGCAGGTAGCAAATAGCAAGATGCCTGGCACACAGAAAGCGTCAGAAAATCGTTAGCTTTTCATTCATCTTTTCATGCAAACGTGTTATTATGAACCCATTTTTATGGAGGCACCCACTCACTTCATTACAAAGTGTCTCCCTTCTCTCCTTCCTCTCCCATTCACAGGATCCTCTTTCAACATTAAGCCATAGAGAGACCCTACCTGGTTATGTGAATGAGCTCCATTGAGCGTAGGAATAATTTCAGTCTTAACCAAGACTTTAAAACATCAGTTAATGTTGAAAACAGTATTTAGGAAGCACTTAATCACTGCTTTAGTTCCTCCCACCATCTGAAGATATGTTTTATGATCAGGTGAAGAGAGGGGTGTGAACTAGCGGCAGCCGTATAGCTTTGAAGCTCAATACTTTGAGACTCAGTCTTACTCCCACAATACCTGACCACACCCTTACACCCTAACAGTACCGCACCTTTCTTTTCCACATGGAAAATTTCCATTATGAAACGTCCCCACTGCTTAAACTGAAGGGCTTTCTTCTTGAGAAACTCACATATTTAATTGCATCTTGTGCTCCACCAATTTTGAGAAGATGATCTAGATGCTTTTCCTTTTTCCTTTGGTTTCTCCTCATCATCTAGTCATTTTAGTGCTTCTCCAAACAGTTCACTGTGGTTAAGAAAGCTAGATAAGAGTATTTAAAGAATCAAGAGTATTGCTGTTTGAAGAAAATGAATATATATATATATATATATATATATATATATATGAATAACTATTAATCATGGTTGA